ATATAGTCGAATATATATAAGTCGAATTGAATTCCCAACAAGGCCTCAAGTTTAAGGCGTCTCGATGGATGGATTTATTCAGTGTAAACAACAGGGAACCCATGAAAGTCTGGAAAAAAAAAATGTTCCAGTGCGATTCTTCTGGTGGTGATTGTGCAGTACACCGGGAGACAATCCCTTACTCTTTTCTGAATATACTGCGTTCTTCAGCATGCACAGGGGCCATAATGCACATAGAACCAACGGCTTTAACGTCTCATCTGAGAGACAATGCGCTATCATAACTTGCATTCCAGCCCTTCGGCTGAAACACAAAGAGAGCAGTTGATGGGAATTGAACAGGGGAGCTAGAGATCCCTCGGTTTAGCTTTCAATGTCTGCATAGACAGCAGAAGAAAACTTCATATTGTGGTATTATTGTTAATATTGTTACTGTTATTTTGTTACTATTTTGATTATAAATATTATTAATAATGATATGGTTGTAATAAATTTATTTTTAATATTTTAATTGTTCAATAGAATGATTGAGTAATATATAGACCTATGTTAGGTGCTGATGGTAAAACCTTTTATAATTGAAGCTGTTATAGCTTTCTTGTGTACAAAAACTTGTATTGCTTTCCAATTAGCAACACATCTTAAGGGCGTTAAAATCCTCAATTAATGTGACTCATGTAAGTGAAATATTGAAATAGATATTTTGTAATTATTGTTCAGTGTTTTTTATTTGTTTATCTTACATTATCATTTTGTTAAATAAGAAAACAAAATAGATAAATAATTCGTTGTTTTCAGTCATTCGTAACAACATATTATGATGATGATAAATATAATTTACATTTATATAGCGCATATTTTATTTTTTAATCTTACATTATCATTTTGTTAAATAAAGAAAAAAAATAGTATTTTAAAGTTTTAAAGAGTAGTAATTAAAAGTCAGACTCCGGAGGAAAAAAAATTTTTTATATGTTGTAGAACTGATTTTTCTAAGACAGAAAAAAGTTGTTTGACGAAAAACTGGGGAGCGGTGAACGAGATACAGATTTTTGAATATTTAAAAACTGGGGGAAAAAAGGGGCATAACCGCCCATTTTTACACCTTTTTCCCCCCAGTTTTTAAATATTCAAAAATCTGTATCTCATTCACACCGTTGCTATCTCATTCACTGTTGCTCAGTTTTTGATCAAACTACTTTTTTCTGTCTTAAAAAAATCAGTTCTACAACATATCAATTTTTTTTTCCTCCGGAGCCTGACTTGAAGGTAGAATAGAAGGAAATGGGCCTCGCTGAAGAAATAGAATAATGTTTTTAGATGACCTGAAGTAAACAAATGAAAGCTATGCTATCATGAAACAGAAATCATATGATAGAAAAAAATTGAGAAATGTAGTCCTAACTACTGTGAACCTGCCAGTATGCAGAAAACAGGTGATGGTGATGATGATGATGATGATGATGATTTCTTTGTTTAACATGATGATAATGGTAATTATAATATATTTGGACATTGTTCATCATTTAAAAATAGGGTAATATATCGTGTGGTACAACACCGCTACGATCAAAAGGGTCAACCGTTCGGCTTTATCCTGGCACAATCCCGGCCCCTACCAAGGTGGTTCGAACAAAGCAGGATGTTGATGAGAATGATGGTGGCTCGCGCCCCTCCAGTTCCCCCCCCCCCATTCGAAAAGTACGAAGCAAAAAAAAATTGGACTATGCTAAAAAAAATATTTAAAAACGGGTTAATGAAACAACCCCATTAAATCGTGACACTTGTTGGGAACTGATGGTTTTTAAGTAGCATGATCAGTGGTAAAGAGGTAGAGGTATATAATAAGCAGGCTTTACAGATTTCAAATAAAAAATAAAGCATGTTTTTATCCATTAGATCGTTTACAGGCCGTAGGTAGAATTTACGAATGTGGGGAAGGGGGATGCGCCTGTGAGGCTTAGGATGTTTATCTCCCCCGGCTGGGTTCAGAGCCCGAGAACCTCCGACGAAGTAGCATTTTGCGACCGTATTAATGGATTTCTGAACTCATAGATAGATATGACAAATTATTCTGTAAAGTTTCATTTCTATCCACTTATAACTGAGAAGTAAGCAATTTAAATGACCCTCAAAATTTACACCCTCAACTGGATCGTCCCCAACTCATAATAATTTCCTCCTTGTAACTTGGGTAAACTTTCCCGAAAGTTTCATTCAGATCAATTGACCTGTTTTTTAAATATCCGGTGTAGACTGTTTGCCCTTAAATCACTTCCACTTGGGCCTCACATACACACCTCACCCTAGATTGACGCTAAATATTAGGAGGCACATCCTTGATATATGATCTATGCTTCGACAAAGAATGGAAAAGGTCAAAGCATGGTAAGTTATTTTATTGAGTTTGGAAATACAAACCAGTCGATAAGTTAAATTTTATGTGCCACCAATTTCTTTATTAGTTTAGAACAGCTGCCGAGACCGACTATGCAGCTCTTAGTTATAATCCGATTATACTAGCCTATGCCTTAGGAGGAGGAGTAGGGGGTAAAAAAAGCGCTTTCTGAGAACTTTAGGGAATTCCCCTATCAATCAAAGGGCCCTGCAATTAATCTTGCATTGGGGCCCTTTCGCACCTAACTACCCCGCTGTTTAATGTTGTCGGTGACTGTTATAAAACTTGTAATGTCTTCCTTTCTTTAAGTGCAACTGTGTGCGAAATATTTGTTTCCTTAATTGCGTTTTTTTTTTCCTATTGAGTAGATATGTATAAGAACTTTTCACTAAAGATGGATTTTCGAAATGGAAGAAGGAACTCTGGGTAAGAAAGGAAAGCTATCCAAGCATGCCAATTCAGATTGCCACGCTGATGGTTGCATGGTCATCGTTCATACAAGCTAGGCCTATATGTAATAATTTGATTTATATTTTGAATTAAGCATCTATTCTATTTCATTTACCATTGTTCCATGTGCATCTCATTTTTAATTTGACGGGGATACATTGCTTATTTGCAATTGTACTATTTCCGGGTTCGCTGTGTATACACTTTTATAACTTCAGTGTTTACTACAATAATAATATTTCTTAACCACTACTTTTTTAATTTAAAGGTCGGCTCTGTGAAGGAGATAATGAGTGACGCGTACAGAAAAAAAGGTTCAGTAAAACAGACACACTATGTCAAGACTGTTGTGCGAGGTCCTGCTCGTCACTAGTATGGAAAACATCGACCCGTGAAGACGAAGTGTCTGCAAACGTCAGAAATTTTAAGAGGATCCTTCTGTTTAGGTGGGCACGATGCAATACTGTAACAGTAAAATATGCTGATACACTTCTATACTGGTGACAGCACCAGTTATTGACCGAACTGTACAATAATAACGGCAAGTAAGGATCGTGAAAGAGATTCATATATAATTTATTTGACAATAACCTTCGAGATGTAACAACAAGTCCACCATTAGACAATTCATTATTATTTTTTATTTAACTGCCTGTAAAATTAGAAATCAATAAAAATCAACATAAATCGGCGGTAAATAGGCCTAGCATGTTAAACAATGGGGACTAATCCTCAATGAGCAGAATAACTGACCGACCGATTGCCTACCTGGCTGGTAATTTGAAAGCGATCATTAATCATAGAATTTTTTTTTAAATAGCTGTTAAAAGCATTAAGTATTACAAGTGGCCATTTTTTATCCCTCACAGGCTTAGGAAATGTGCAGGCAACATAATTTTGTTTTCTTCCAATGATATTATCATATTGAAATATTTGCTGGCGATAGTAGTTACAATAGTGGTGAAGCAATTTTCGTTAATTAGCTCTTGAGTGTTGATTTTCTTTAGTATACCGTATACTGTTAGTTTCTACATTAGCGGGGGTGGGGTTATAAGCGATGGATTGTTCAACATTAACGGCTGTTCTTACATTAGCTGATTTCTACAATAACGGTTGTAACACAGCACAATCATTTTTTTTTATACATTTCCTTCATTGATTACAGAAATAACAAAACAAAACGAGATTACAGCATTGTAAAAACAAATGAGAACAAAAGTTATAGAGCCAAGAAAGAAAAAATGATTGTGATGACAGATTAAATTATGATATTAATTTCATTTAATAATAAGGTGAAAAAACTACACTTCTTAGTACATTTTCTCTTTCTGTTATACCTTTCTCAATTGATATTTTTTATTTGAGAAACATTTCAAGTCCATGAGAATCCGACTGTTGAACAAACTTTTTGCATAAATAAATTGTTTTACAAGTAACAAAATATGATCGAAAGCTTCGCTATTTGGTTTACTTATTCCTAACAGAATAATTTGTTTATTTAATTTGATGGGCGATACAAATTTATATCAATATATTGACTCACGTAAGCTTATATCTCTCGTACACACGGGCATTCATAAAAAATATGTTCTATATAGTTTCTACTGACTTTTTTTTACAAAAAGTGCATTGATCATTATCGCTAAGATCTAGGCCTACTTTGTGTAGCAATTTATTTGTTCCTGAAATTCGTGAATTATCTTGTACTGGAAAATTTGTAGCCTACAATTAGTTGTACATTTTGCTGGCTATTGTGAACAAATCGGGCGAGTTGTCACATTCACCTAATGATTCATGCCATTTATGTAGGCCTATTACATGTTGTGGATAGATTTTGATATTATTAATGAGATGATTGTAACAAACTTTAGTAATTTTCTTAGCAGAGAGTAAAAAGGATGAGCACAATAATAATATAGTCACATTGTCAGAGTAAACCATGTTCGTGGGCAGTGGCGTAACGCCTATGCGCTCTCGTTCGGCGGTCCGCAGGGCCCCGAAGGTACCCCTACTCATAGGGTCCTCGATCTAGCACCCTTACCCAAAAGGGCTTTGTTGATATACATAACAGCATATATGTCTGAGAGCGACTGTAAGATCATAATCATAATTATGCTGTATATCATATTACTGCAAAACGAAGAAAAATTATACTCAAATGTTAAGTCTATGAGTGCCATTTCTGGAAATTTAGAGGTGCCATAATCATAACTGTTCTTACCTCCTTACCTCAACTCCAACCATGGTTGGGCTGAGGTCGTACAGATCTGTGAAAGTTCGTATTTAGGAGTCTTGTGGGGGCGCAAAAATGAAGCGGAGGAGGGGTGCTCAATGATCAGTTAAGAGGGCGCTAAAAAATAATATTTTTACCGCCCCCTTAACTGGGCACCTGAAATCACTATACTATAGTGATTTTAAGTGCTTTTTAACAACTTGACCGTGACTCTTTCTGGGGGGGGGGGCGCACACCACTAGATACGCCACTGCTCCCTGCCCCATTCCCTCTCTATTCAAATATGCTGAACTGCAACTTATATCATATACTTTATTTTGTCGTTAAAAACAATCGAGAATGTAATGACAAATATCAGAAAAACAAGCGCATCTAAAACCCCACAAACGACTCAATCAAAAAAGGGCCCAGTCTCAGAAAGCCACAGGGCCACCTGTATCACCCACTAATGTAACAATCAACCACTGATGTAACATTAACCACTGTTGTAACAACAATCAACCACTGTTGTAACATTAACCACTGTGGTAACAAAAATCTACCACTGTTGTAATAGTTCATTAAAACCACTACTGTAACAACGATTTAACCACTGTTGTAACAAAATCAAATCACTATTGTAACAATGATTTAACCACTAATGTAACAACGTATAATATAGAAGTCCCCAAGTCGAAAATTTATGTACATTCCCAAATTTCACATTAATGATGGTTGTGCATTTTTTAAATAAATGTTTTAATTTTTGATATAGAGGTTAAAGGTCAAATTTTAAATATGGTCTGAACAAGCTCAAATTCCACAGGGATGGTTAATGTCACGTGACATTGTAAATAGTAAATAATTGGAGGTAAATAATGGAGGGTAACGGGTAAAATTCACAAAACATGCTGTCACATTTAGAAAATAATATTTTAAAGGAAGGCAAAATTCCATAGTAGTCCCCATGACATTGAAATAGTTTAAATTACCTTGGGCCTAAAGTTTATAGGGATAAAACTTAATATTATAAATATATATTTCCATGACCGAATTAAGTTACTCAAAGACAACAACGGCAGGATATAAAAAGGGGTGCTACTATATATTTTAGAGTAGATAAATGCCTCGCCTATAGTTATACTACAACAATAACGAATAACGATAAACAAATGTTTATACTATGAAGATTTTATCGGGGTTTTTTTTATGATTATGTTATTTTATTTGATTTTTTTTAATCGTATACACTTTATTATAATTGAATCGTGCTAGTAAGAAAACGTTTATATTTTTTTAAGAATAATTTGGTTTTTGTTTTAGCTTTTTATTGTTGATTGTCAAAGTATAAACATGCCTTAAAATATAAAGTATAAACAGGTCTTAACGCATCCCCATGACGTGTTGTATTTATGTTTTTACAGGATTAATTGGGTTTTTGTTTTAGCTTTATTGTTGATTGTTATTGTCAAAGTATAAACATGCTTTAAAGTATCCTTAACGCATCAACATGTTAATAGAACAATGTACATAAGTTTTCAGTTTGGAGACTTCTATAGGCCTATTATACGTTGTTACATTAGTGGTTAGATTATTGTTACAATTGTGGTTAATGAATTTTGTTTTGAATTGTGGTTAAATCGTTGTCATAATGTTTGATTTTTTTTTTACAACAGCGGTTAATGTTACAACAGAGGTTATGTTACTTACATTAGTGGGTGATACACCCCCGGGCCCATCGTTACGCCACTGTTCGTGGGAACACCGAATTTGCCTGAAATAGACAATTATGTTAATATGATACGACAACAAAATGCGCGTGACTACATTAGCTGTTGACCGTGTTACATTAGCTCTGGTTGATTTTCGTTTTACCGTAGTTTTACAGCGGTGGAGCTCTAGAGTGTACGGCACTACGTCATTACCGGTTGTTGATACATTAGCTGTTGTTTCCTGTGGTTGCCGGGATCGAGGATTGAGATGACTACAAAGATGCCCATGTGTATTTGTGTAATTGTGTTGTTCATTGTTGGGACAAAGGGCCGTGGACGTTTACCGTTATCAAATGTTGCGTACCAGACTATTTTTAAACGACTCCGTGGAGAGTATAATAAGCCAGTAGCAGATCGTACAAGAGAAGAAAAAAATGCGCTGCAGATGTTGTGGCGAAGTAAGCATATTCTCTTATAATGGTAGTAGATTCAAAATTTCTTGTATGACCTACCGGCCAGGAGGCGCGGCCAAGAGTCAAAACCCAGATCTTACGACAGCAGTTCTAAATATTTAGTAGGACTCTTGAAGATATTAGCAACATAATTGAGCCGTAATTTTAGTCAGTGGCGTATATATCTAGCTAGAAATATTGAAATGGGGTGGGTGCTGAATGGGGTGGGGCTCGATGATTAAGTTGGGGCTGTAACTCGTAAATAAGAAAATTTTAGGTGTTTTTTAACTACATATGCGTGATTTGGTGGGGGGCGACTGGGGGAGCTAGTATTTTATGGCGCACCCACTAGGATAGCCCACGCCACTGATTGTAGGAAATATCGCTCAGTTTTCAGGTGTTTGACCCTTTAATCCCCATGCAAGGCCGTAGGAATTAGGCGATCCGGCTATGTCTAGCACACCCAGAACCCACAAGCAGCATTTTTATATATATCAGTAACTTTCTTTGATGATTTATATATAATTTGACAGTGTTAACGGCTATCTTGAATTATTTCATTTTATTTTAAATTTTTGCGTGCCTATTATTTTCTGATTTGTCTTGGTTAATATCTTACAGTTTTTATTTTGATCTGTTCCGTATTTCTCGTTCATACGTGTAACGCTGAAGGACACATGCGTGTCAAAAATATTCGTCTTGAATACATGTCTCTATTATGTCGATGTATGCAATCTGTCTCTTATACACATCTAGATGTGTATAAGAGACAGCACTTGATCTAACAAAATCATTAAAGGAAGAGGGACAGTAACCATGCATAATCTTAAAACCAAGGGTAAGTCTATGAACTTTAAATATATCTTCAGTACTTAAATTATTTAATGTCTTTAGTCTATAGGAATATGAAGTGTCCCAAGTTTCTTCTTTTCTATGATTAATAATTCTAGTGGCTTTCCTCTGTACCTTCTCCACCCTACTAATATTAACATTTTCATTAGGCACCCACATACAACAACAATATGTTATTACTGGTAGAGTAAATGCTTTATACAGATTTAGCATTGCAAACCAAGACATTGCTTTACTGCATCTTGACACAGGAATGAATTTTTTTACACCTAGTTAAACTCATGGTTGCACATTTAGAATAATTTAATGGCAGTTTATTTACAACTGACCATTCAAAAATCTTATTCAAGTCACTTTAAAGTTTTATGCAGTGACCACTTTTATGGACTAGCCTTGAAATGGTACAGTTTTGTCATCTGCAAACTGAAAATTGTAGAGTTTAAGCCACTCTCAAGATTACTTACATACATTAAAAACAACAAAGGACCAAGAACTGACCCTTGGGGAACACCTGAAGTTTAATGAATGAATTCAAACTTCTATGTAATGTTAAGTATTATATGTAAGCTGAAGCAATTATTTTTAAAGATTAAAAGGTGTTTCTTGAATGATGAGGAGTTAGCTGACTTGCTGATTTTCAGACAACAATACATCTTTATCCGCGTTTCACAATCTATTCAAAATAAGTGTTTGAAGTTTTATCCCATCATTTTATTTCACAGGCTGATTGTCACACAGTAGTCCAAAAAAAAACTCAACAGACGCCTGTAACGTTAAGTATTATGTAAGCTGAAGCAATTATGTATAAAGATTAAAAGGTGTTTCTAGGATGATGGATAGCTGTTAACGCTGTTAAATTAGAGGCCTATATAAATCATCAAAGGTAATACAGCTGTTCGAATAAAGGATAAGATTGTGCATCGTGTAGCATAGCTCTGAACGAATGCTGTCCTATAAAATACATGCATTGTGTAATAAAATTTTAAAACTTAAAAATATTGTCTTTGATGTATTTACGGTACTGTACTCTACTTTAAAACCGTGAGTCCACACCCACCTCAGCCCACCATAGTTGGGGCTGAGGTGGTAAAATTTGGGAAAATAATACCTCTAGATTTCCAGATATGACACTCTTATATAGTAAAATTTATCATCATTGATCTAATTAATCGCTGTGATGTACCATAAGAAATAATGCTAATTTTGTATTTAATGTATTTACTTTATTTTACCTTCTTCATGTGCCGAAAACCAATCTTATCGTTGCACACTTTTTCTCATACTTCTCAAAGTATAATCAAGACACGCACACTCGAGTCGTGTAGTAGGTAATTAAGATGTTTGTGGGCAGAAATACCAGTACGTTTCTATAAAATATGATGTACTCTGGCTGTACAGCGCTCTTTCGTTAAAACCTGGGTCATTTATGCAGTTTATTTCAACAATTTGCAGTCATTTTCTTGACTTACAAACTTTCTTGACTTATGAAATTTTCTTGACGAAAAGTGATGGGGACCTAGTGAGTTGCGGAAAAGTTTGAGAATATGGACTACTAGGTACCCAGAAATAATAATAATAATAATAATAATAATAATAATAATAATAATAATTATTATTATTATTATTATTATTATTATTATTATTATTATTATCATTATTATTATAAATAATAATAATAATAATACACATTTTAAAGCGCCTACTAAAGCAAACAAAAACTGGCTTGTCACCAGCGCTGGAAGATGTTAGAAAGAAGTTGGAACTATTTGAAGAGAAAGGATTTAAGGCTGCATTTGAATAATTCCTGATTAGAGATGATACGTAATTGAGGGGGCAGAAAGTTCCAGAGTTGAAACGCGCAACACATATGTTTACATGTGGATCATGGGCTTTAGAAGCGGCTTTTAATTTTTTTTTCTCGCACTTTTTTTCTGCTAGTCGAGTGGCCGAGCGGTAAGGCAGGGGCGCCGCTAGCTACAGCCTTAACATCGGCGCTTGCAGGTTCCAGCCGCTCCTCGCCCATGGTTCGGTTGGTAGAACCAAGTCTTCTCGGATAAGGACTTAAAGTGGAGGTCCAGTGTATACATCAGGCTCGTGTGCACTTTTAAGAACCCATTGCATCTTTCGGAAGAGTAGAGGGTTACGCCGATGTTATGGTTCATTTCAGCCCCTGTCGTTGTGGAATGATGTGCATGTATCTACCAAGAAGCGCCTCTTTACGGCTGCTAGGTATTCACGGACCACGCCCATACGCAATTCAGCACAATGACGCTGCAAGTTATGGGTTATTCTCCTACCCTTTACCTTTATAAGCCCTTCCATGATTTATAGCCTGTTCACCTCTAAGCCAACCTCACCCCTGCATGTTTGGTTCCCTCTCTCTCTCTCTCTCTCTCTCTCTCGACAGAGAGAGAGAGAGAGAGAGAGAGAGAGAGAGAGTGCTACAACAAACGAGGTCCGACTATCAAGAAAAGAGGAACTATGCCACCAAAAAGACCCAACACCAACCTTACCGGCGAGAAGAAAGAATGAACCAATTTATTACTTAGAAATTGAAAGAATGTACAAAAAAAAATTGGAAGAATGTAAAGGTATGCTACAAAATGCAGCGAAAACGTTTTCTGGAAGGAAAAAGAAGCAACAGAATGATTGGTTTGGTGACAAAGATGAGATGAATAAAACGGCTGCTTAAAGACAAAAATATGAATAGGAATGCCCTTCGTGAGTGCAAGAGAAATTAAGGAACAAGTGGTTCCAGAAAAAGGCAAAAGATGCAGAACGTTACTCACAGGAAAGGAATCATAGATATTCTATGCCACACTTAACACAGTGTACGGTTCTAGAACAAAGAGCTCACAGGCAGTTAAAAAATAAAAATGGTGAACTGTTAACTTCTCCAAAAATTGCTAATATAGATGCAGGGCCGGCGGAACGTTTTTCAAAGTGGGTGGGGGGGGGCACTTATAAGCGCCACCAAAAAGACCCAACACCAACCTTACCGGCGAGAAGAAAGAATGAACCAATTCATTACTTAGAAATTGAAAGAATGTACAAAAAAAATTGGAAGAATGTAAAGGTATGCTACAAAATGCAGCGAAAACGTTTTCTGGAAGGAAAAAGAAGCAACAGAATGATTGGTTTGGTGACAAAGATGAGATGAATAAAACGGCTGCTTAAAGACAAAAAGATGAATAGGAATGCCCTTCGTGAGTGCAAGAGAAATTAAGGAACAAGTGGTTCTAGAAAAAGGCAAAAGATGCAGAACGTTACTCACAGGAAAGGAATCATAGATATTCTATGCCACACTTAACACAGTGTACGGTTCTAGAACAAAGAGCTCACAGGCAGTTAAAAAATAAAAATGGTGAACTGTTACTTCTCCAGAAAATTGCAAATATAGATGGGTTGAACATTTTAATAAACTTCTAAATCTACCAACGATGTTGACTTGGACATTCTTAATGATATAGAAGATAATGTTATTTTTGAAATCTTGACGACCGTCCTACTCACAAAAAGCTGGATACTGCTTGAACAAAACTAAACTTGGCAAAAGTCCAGGTCCAGATGGCATTATTTCAGAAATCCTGGATTATGGCGGAAAGGTCTAAGAAAATTTCTTAAAACTCTATTTACAACGTTCTGGATTACACCAGAGAACATTCCTGCAAATCTGATAGATTGTAACATCATAATTTTCTACAAGAAGACGGCAACTACAGAGGCATAGTATTTGCTGACATTATGCTATAGAGGCTGCTCTGCAAAATTTGTACAGATTATCAAGACATTTTACACTAACGCACATGCTCAACTCATCGTAGATGGTGAACGTACTCAAGATTTAAAGTACAATAGCGGAGTGAAACAAGGATGCAAGCTTGCACCTACTTTATTTTGCATGTATGCTGCTGTTCTTCTCTATCTTGGTTTTAAGGACATCAAGCACACATACAGCATCAAGGTGCGCTTTCGTTATGATGACAATATCTTTGATTTACGAAGGTTAAAGGCAAAGTCCAAAGTTACCAACAACTACTTACGTGAAGCACAGTACGCAGATGACATCGCCATATTCAGTGACACCCGGCCCAGTAGGTTTGCAGCATCTCCTAATTGCATATATAATAATTATCAAAGAAAATTGGTTCTAAGATTAACACATCAACTGAATGCATGTGTACCAGAGGATTTCCTTATCTATGAAGTGAAGTTAATCAATGTCGACCACTTCAATTATTTTAGGCAGTTAAGTCAGCAAAGACTGCTCAATGAAAAATGAAATCAATGCTCGGATCCAGGGCACATCATCTGCATTTGACTCAGAAAGAGGGTATTTGATTCTCGAGATCTGACAGCAGAAACCAAGATAAAAGTTACATCCAATGTCTAATGTCATCAAGTTCGTCAACTGCGCACTATTCAACAGAGACATCTGAGATTAATTATGGAGATTAAGCGGGATGATTTCATCAGTAACCACGTTTTGGAACTAGCTGGTGTTGAGGACATAGAGTCGAAACTTGTCAGGAATAGGTTGCGCTGGTTCGGCCATGTAGCAAGGATTGTTGATGAAAGACCAGTTAAAAATATAATGTATGGAGAACTTTCTTGTGGTTCAAGATCACTTGGACATCCTAATTTAAGGTTCAAAGACACTTGCAAACGTGCAATTAAATGCGGCAAATAATTGGAGCACGATTATGAACAACCGTTTAAATTTGAAAAAGACTTATAAACAATACATGCAAAAGTATTGATTTGAAGAGAATAGAGCAAAATAAAAGGAAAAGAGCCAGAAGGAAAAAGAAGAAAGAAGTATGTTAATACCCGTTTCGGGCAGATATGCGGCAGATATACTGTATCTTTAAAATCTTCCATGAAATAATTCATGTCAACAATATAATACAACAATTATTTTTCTGCTCTGATCTTCTTCCTGCCTTTGTCGTAGATAGGAAATAACGCAAACATCAACTTAGTAAAGAAGGCAGTCTGTTCCTCCACATAATGTCAAAATGCTCTTATACCGATCTGTTTATTTCTATTTCAGATCCAACCAGTTTTACTATTGAAAACAATACGCTTATGTTCAATGGGAAAATTGTAGCAAGAAAGGAAGATATTGACCGAATTGTCTACAGATGTTTCAAACAGACCAAGGGTGCTGGAGCCCGGAGAATCAGACATTATCTGGCTGAATCCTGTTCCGGTATAAGTGAAGCGCGCATCTACCGTAGTTTGCATAATGCTAAAGTACGAGCGGAATTTTCAAATCGACCTATATGGAGGCCAATTAAGGCTCGTGAAATTCAAGAAAGACATCTGGTGGACTTGGTGGATCTCCATCCTCAAAAAAGTAATTACAATGGCAAGAAGTACCGTTATATATTGACTGTGATCGATGTTTTTTCTCGTTTTCTCTGGACAAGACCCCTTCCGACCAAGAAGCCATCAAAAGTTGGTAAAGCGCTTGCTGAGATTTATAATGAACACGGACCACCGAAAATTTTACAACGTGATCGCGGGAAAGAATTTGAAGGTGTGGTAGTCAAATTAATGAAAAAACTTAACGTCAAAATAATTAGAAGTCGTCCTTATCACTCCCCAATCACAGGAAAAGGTGGAAAGACCACACCTCACATTGCGAGAGAAAACTTTTTCGATCCTTTCAAAGTGAGAAGAAAACTGAGGGCTTTGGTTAATCGTTGTGGACCAAACTGGGTTGAAAATCTACAACGTAATACACGGATTATTAATAGCGAAGCAAAGGAAGAGTTGAATTACAAGTCTCCGTTCCAAATATATTTTGGACGATCCAATAACTTACTCAAGAATACTCTAGATGGTGAAAACCCAGATGATGTTAGGCAGGAGGATTTTGCGTTTATCTCAGCAGAGAGACCAACTTTAGCTGAATTAAAAGTAAAAGAAGAGGCCACGAATAATATTCGAAATGTTGTTAAGGTTGTTAGGAAACACCCTCCAAGTTTGTACAACGTTGGGGATAAAGTGTATGTACGCATTCAGGTACCAAAGCACAGACTAGCTCAGAGACACTATATCGCTGAAGGGAAAATACTCAAGTGCAACTTGAAAAGCGGTATGTACAGACTGCAATATGAGCGAAATGGAATATCTGCTCGTGATTGGTTTCACTTGAATGATATCACCAACCGAACTATCGCTGAGGAGAACGCTAGAGTGAAGGTGGATATCGCCGAAAAAGTGCCACCGGCATTTGACAACCATTATTTCACTTCCTTTATGGCAAACATTTTAGCCAAATTTGGACTACGCGTGCGGTATAATCCATCAGGCGACGGTAACTGTCAATTTGATGCGTTAGTGGACCAACTTGCAACACTTGGCATTCACAGGAGTTCCCAGGGCTTACGTGCAGAGTTGATTTCAGATATAGAACTTAACCCTTACCTAGTGGATGGCTCACCAATAGAACCATTCGTCGGATCTGTTCAAGCTTATACACAAATGATGTCGTTGCCCGGTACATACGGGGATCATGTTACTCTGCAAAGAACAGCTCAACTTTTTAACTTACAAATTGTTGTTGTATCGTCTTTAGGTGCAACAGCAACACGTCTTATTTCCCCGTCAGGAAGCTACGATGAATCTTTACCCACGTTGTTTCTTGGTCACATGGCGGAGGGTCAAGGTGAACATTACTTGAGCTTGTCACCTTATGATGAAAGTTACCGTTGTGTGCTAGAGTCTTACCGATACTATACTCCTTTATATGAACCAGAAAATAGACATGAAACCTCTGTGGAGAAAGTTGGGGGTGGGACAGGAGAGCATTGGAATGGAATTGGACAAAATGAGGACGAGTGTGTAGAAAATGTGGATGAGAGTTTACAGAGTAGGGGAGATGTACAGTATGAAAACGAGTGTACATCGGATGAGATAGAAATGGTTGTGAAAAATGTGTAGACGATAGTAGCGGGTGAAAACAGACACGAAGTAGTGGGGACGTGAATGGATACAATAGTGACCAAAATGGTTAGGGTGAAGAAGTCAGCGGGAAGGGTGAAGACAGGAGTGACACAGCTATGGGATGGAATGAACAAAATAGAGACAAGTGTGTAGAAAGTGGGGATCAGAGTTTTAAAAGAGGGGCCGATAATGGACAATGTGACAAAATTGTGGACGATACTGGAAACAAATATAAAGAAGGTGGGGACGAGAGACAGTTGCGAACGGACCTGCGACGGAGTACTCTGAACTTACTATTAAGCCCTAAGTAATTTTTTTTTAATTATTTCTGGTTACTGTTTCTTATTAAACCTATTGTTGCTATTATATATAAGTTTCTGTAGATGACGTTTAGTTATCTCCGCATGCATTTATGTTTAAAGATGCATATTATACAAGTCTTTCAAAGTGTCATCCATCAAAAAGTAATGTGACAGTTTTTGTTTGAACTCTAACTATAAGCAGGTTATGTGTTGTAGAAGTTTCTTGTACATTCATTGCAGTATTTTATATACATCTATTTTGCTTAAACGTAGTGTCTTCTCATGTATAGCATTTTCTGTCAGAGGCGTAACCGTGGGGGTCATTTATCAAAAAATAATGTGACAGTTTTTGTTTGAACACTGTAACTATAAGCCGGTTTTGTGTTGTAGTTGTTTCTTATACATTTATTGCCGTATTTTATATACATCTATTTTGCTTAATGTCTTCTCATGTATAGCATTTTCTGTCAGTGGCGTAACCAGTGGGGGTATGAGGCTCCAGCTTTCCACTTTCAATGTAATTTGCGCAAAGGAAAATCACTGGCCTAGGATTGTGTCCAGAACCATAAAAAAAAATCCAAAATAATCTTGCCCAACTGAGATATTATTACACGTATGTTATATTACAAACAAATATTTACGTTGTGTATATCTAACATCAGTCTACTCTTAAAGCTGTATATTTTGTTTTCATGAGAAAGATGAACCCCTGAATCCCAAGTAGAATTTAGTGTCTATCATTTTGTATTCAACAAAGTTTTGCATTATTAAGGTTCAATAAATTAAAATTTACCTCATACTGATAAAGACTATATCGTCATTTATTTATTATTTATCTTCGGGGGATTTTTTTCGGCTATCCAAGCACAACAATTAGATTATTTAGATTCAGCCGCACCATACATATATATCAAGATCGCCGCTAACACTGTTAAATCAAGTAAATTAATAAATTTGAAACCAATAAGAATAACATAACTTTGAAAAACTGATGTTAATGAATATATATATATATAGGCCTATATATATATATATATGTATATATATATATATATAACATAAATCAAGGTAGCCGTTAACACTGTTAAATCATATATAAATTATCAAAGAAAGGTAAATACAGTGTTCGAATAAAGGACTTGATAAATACATCGTGTAGCATAGCTCTCAACGAATGTAGTCCTGTAAATAAATGAATAAAGAAATTGTGTAATAAAATGCCTCTGGCGGGACTCGAACCTGCGACCTCTCGCTGTCAAGGCGAGCGTCATAACCATTAGAACACGGAGGCTTCATGGTTGAACAGATTCAAATACCACCAGATACACTCCATTACACAATAGGTACGGCTAGAAACAAATAGGTGCATATAACATAAATCAAGGCATCGCCATTACCTTATCCAGGTTTGAGGATTTATTAGTGGGATTACTCTTAAATTGACCAACACTATCTGGATACAGCGTTCGAAGGTGGTCTTTAATTAGCTTAAATTCTGCTTCAGTTGAAGTTTCATGGTTTGTAGACCCATCGTCTGCCAATCTGTTCTTTAATTCTTCAATATTTATAAAAATGGTCTTGACCTCTGACTCTAACCCTTCCAGATATTCAAGTTTTGCTAGTCTTTGGTCATCCAGACTTTCTAGTTGTTTACTAATTATAACCTCAGTTTGTTTTTTAAGTTCAGTTTCAGTATTTTTGATGAATTCCTCACATTCTTTTGCAGACTGATCTAAATTTAGTTTCATTTTTTCTATTGCAACTTGTTTATTTTTAGCCTGTCTCTTATACACATCTAGATGTGCACTATATACATGAATATAAATGAGTAAAACTATAAAGAAATGTTGAATTTAATCAATTCGAAACTGGCATAAAATATAAGAATGAACAATTAAAATGTATTAAAAAATAGGGATGGATGTTGCAGTACGCTGGTATGCAACGCTCTCAAGTAAATCCAGGAAGTATTCTAAAATATGAAAAGACCTAAATGTTTTAATAGTCCACGTGACGACTGATTAATTCAGTTAAAGATGGATCGACCTATGGACAAAAAAATCCCACATTTACAACTGTGCTTAAACACCCGAATGATTTATGACGATACTTATGAACTTGAGCATGAAATGTATCAACAAAGGTTATAACTGGAATGTCAACCAGCATTTCCATGCACCCTTTCCAACAATAATTTTCATTGAGTGTATATACTACAATCATGACGAGTGATTCGAGGTCGAATGAACCTTCTTAGAAAAGTTCGTACTAACTCACAATCCTCAATATCATAACCACTTCATAGACATACATGATAAATTATAATTCTACCAAAAAATTATTTTAGCATTTTCCCTCCTACATCTCCATCCAACCTTATAATATAGGTCTATTTATTAATTACTATTAGTATTATATAGTCTTTGTGTAGCATTTATTCGTTTTGATTAGCCTTTAAATAAAACTGTAGCCTTAGACTTCGATTTTGATTTGTTTTAAAATCATATTGAAATTCACATGTGTGATTACAATAGTAAATTTAATGTAGGCCTTTGCCTATAACAAGTTATTTCTTCATCCTGTAAAACGCCTAATATAAAATCATTTAAACCAACAAACCAAGTAATTTTTTGAATCAAAGAAAACATTTGAAACCAATTTTAAATAAAGTTGTCGGTTTAATTTTATCTGAAAAACATGGTCACACAACTACATGTTGATTTATGAGATAAAAATAACAATATCATTTGTAGCTCTATGTAAATATGAAAACATCCCTATTTATAAAAAGAATTAAAACTTGGCTACCAATATTTCAATGTCTTAATTTGTAAGTCATTGAAATAATTATCACCCAAGTGTCACACTTATTTTAATTCATTTTTTACAATACCTTTTATATACAGTATAAAACCTGTTAAAAACATGGTCACAAATAAACAACTGTATCTTTGTAACCTGTTTCAAACTGAATTGTTATTTGTTATTTTTTATGCCAATTAATAGTCATCTAAGTCAACAATACCATTTTCAGATTATATTATAACTACTGACAACTATCCTACTGTCTGTCTTTAAGTGGGAAGGGGAATAGAAAGAAAAATTTGCAAGTTTCCAAACAGGTTCCACAGACAAATTAAATAAAGAAAGGTGACATTGTAGCTATCTAGATAACCATTTTAACAACACAATTGAAACAATATTTGAAGACAGTAACTTAAAATACCAAGTAAAAGTAAAGTAAAAAAAAGTATATGTAAAAATAATGTTTTATAATGCTTTCAAATTCTCTGTATTTGAATGAAGGCCTGTGGGAAAGCATTACTATAATAGTGGATTATTATGCAAGCTCTAGTGGTTAAGAAATCAGGCTGATACCTGGAGATATTTGGGGACGTACAGTATGCGGTACGATAACACGTCAGGTAGGGAAAAACATCACTCCTATATAATAGTGGGTTTAGCTAATGAAAGTCCTGGAAGCAGTCATTAAAATTGTAGATCTATAACAATACATATATAATATAATATAAACTTATAGTTAACAGGACAAAACATATGAAAGGCAAATATGTAGTAGTTTTATTAAAAGTATTGAAGGCAGGGAGCTGCGAATATATAATATATAGTATATTGTACAAGGTATACATATACAGTAAGTGTACAATGTATTTTAAGAAAAATCATTATAAGATGTACAATATATAATGTAAGCTACTGTAGAACAATAGGAAAAATAATAATCATAATATATATATATATATATATGTATATATTTATATATATATAAATTGTATTGAAACAACATTAGTAGATATACTGTATAAGCACCCATGTATATCTAAAATTATTTACTGGTTATGTTCCCAGGTTGGTACCGTAACATTTGATAAACCAAATATTTTTATCTCACCAGGACATACTACTGCAAGATTACCCTTATGTGTTGCTAGACCAAACGTACTGCCTTTTACAATAGCTCTAACGAACTTGAAGTCTTTATCATATAAACAAAGCCCAGATTTACATCCTAATATGATGTTATCATTCTCATCGATGCATACTGCATAGTGGCCACATAATGAATGCTCTACATAACGATAGTCATCATTAACACTACAAATGTAGATTGAGTCGCCAATCCCATTAGAAATATACAACTGGAATTGTGAATTAATCCCAAGAAACCAGGGCCGGTAGTTTTTTGCTTCAGAAATGCCAGAAATATCAATTTTCCTTATTAGCCTGTGATCTTTATAATGGTTTACACAATGTTCATCAGTGTTTGACACAAACACATGAACAGTACTCTCACTAGTGGTAGCAGCAATTCCACCAAGGCTTCCATATTTGAAATCTCCTTTTCCAAATGTTTTCCTATTTTCTTTGTCAGCAAGCCAAATAAGTTCTTTACCATCGTTATCTGTCATGTACACATGACCCTCAAATGGACAACATAAGCTGCTTATTTTTCTCGATGGATTAAGAGTAGTAAATACTTCTAAATTAAGACCACTACCGGACATATTGCACGAGAAAATCGTATTTGTAAAGTTACATGCAAGTAGAGTTGAACCACCAGGCAAGTAGCATACATCAAAAATATGGCCTCCCAAATATTTAGTGTTTACAGGAATCGACCTACTCTCCATACTCTCATCAGAAACTATGATAAGGCTTATAACTTCTGCAATCATCTTACTACACACGTATACTTTGAGTGTCCACAATCCTGGATGATCAAATTTTAATTCAAATTTATGAATATTTTTCGAAACACTTGTGCGAACTTCGTAAGCTGCGTTTGACGCTGTTGGGCTTTCGACACTAATTGTAACTGGAGCAGTTTCATGTTCTTCACTAACATCGTTTCCTTGAGAACTCCTAAGGCATACTTCCAGTGACACTTTCTCATCTATACCGAAGCATTTTCTGTTGAGTTCATTATAATTTATCAAACATTTTTCAGCATCTATAGGACTGTCTGTTACAAATAGTCTGCTCATCGCCATTACCTTATCCAGGTTTGAGGATTTATTAGTGGGATTACTCTTAAATTGACCAACACTATCTGGATACAGCGTTCGAAGGTGGTCTTTAATTAGCTTAAATTCTGCTTCAGTTGAAGTTTCATGGTTTGTAGACCCATCGTCTGCCAATCTGTTCTTTAATTCTTCAATATTTATAAAAATGGTCTTGACCTCTGACTCTAACCCTTCCAGATATTCAAGTTTTGCTAGTCTTTGGTCATCCAGACTTTCTAGTTGTTTACTAATTATAACCTCAGTTTGTTTTTTAAGTTCAGTTTCAGTATTTTTGATGAATTCCTCACATTCTTTTGCAGACTGATCTAAATTTAGTTTCATTTTTTCTATTGCAACTTGTTTATTTTTAGCTTGCAGAGTTAAAACACCAACTTGCAATACAGCACCTACAAATGAAAATAAGACATATAGTATATCAAACAATTTAAATGATATGTCTTTTTCTAAACTAATGTAAAAGTATTAAAGATTCACTGCCTGTCATGGGCTAAAATAATTTGAAATTTTAAATTCCATTTTTGAATTGCCTAATTTGTATATTTAAGTACCGGTAAGTTATTAACTTACAAATTAATTAAAAGTTTGAATGACAAAAAAAAATCCCGTAAATTAACGCACAGTTAATACCTTTCATGGTAATGTCAGTAAATCAGAAAGAATCAATCTATTTCTGGTTGAAAGTAAATAACATTTTTTATTACTCTAACTGAGCTATTTAAAATTGTAATATAAATTTTGAGGGGTTTTTGGGCAGGCAGTATGTCCTTAAGAAGGGTTATTATAGAACTATGGTGAATTAAATTACAGTAAATGGTCTAAACCACCGTCCCGCAACCTATGGGTAGCGACCCAACAGTGGATGGCGAAAAATTGTTGATGAGTCGCATAATTTCTTCAGATCCTGAAAACTTTACTTAATATGAACGAGGACAAACGAAATCAAAGTACAGTGAACACAAGGACAATTAATGTGTGGCATGTGCGTAGTTTTCATATTGAAAAATATATTATCAAAAACATTTGTACGGTAACTTGAAAGTGTTAGTTATGTTTATTTCAATGTGTCTGGCGTTCAGTTGAAAATTAAAATAAAAAAAAAACAACATTTTCTTGTCAATTATGTCTGTGTCTTCGCATAATCCCTAAATTTCTGGCAACAAATCTAGGAATTTATGTAGTAAAATGTCTATCAATCATTGTTTTTTTATTTTTTATTTTTTTTCATTTTTAACTTATCGAACTATGATAACTATGTGGTTTTCTTAAATGAGTATTTTTAGTGCTTTTAAATAGATTTTGTGGGTGATGATATTTTTGATTGGTTCGCAAAAGAATCAAATGTCATGGTTCTTCTAATATGCACTATCCCTTGCGCGTATAAAATGACGGACGTGATTTATTGACGTATTCACTCGAACAAAAATAACATTCAATAATTTTACTATGAACTTCAGGTGTGAAAATTGCAGAACAGGGGTCTCAATAGTCAATCAGGAACTGTGCTGGTTTCACTCTGGTGCCTGACATGTCAATCAGTTTTTTGTTTGTTTATGTATTATAATTTTAAGGCAGAGAAATTGAATAAAGGAAGAACGTTTGCAATTCACATTCAAATTAATGACTTCATATAGATTTAATAGAGAATACTTGCTTGATAACCGCTGTTTTCTCATTGTTAATTCAGGGTGTGTTGACATGTCCTCGTCTGTAACCGGATCTTCAACTAACTTGAATGCTCTGCTTACTGAAATAATACAGTATATATATATATATATATATATATATATACATTGATATGAAAATTGTATCTAGTGGAAACTAAATAAAATGAAATGAAATAAATATTATCAAAGTATCAATGCATGGAAATTAATCATCCAGTAAACATGTAATGAAAACAGAGCGAGAAAAGAGATGGGCATGGCCCCATACATTTCCCAACAGAGTCCAATAAGTCCAACAGGGGGTCCGTACCAAGAGGCCGCATAGGCCCTGAAGCTTCGGTCAAGGTCTCCGAATATAATCCCTTATTTAGTGTGACCCAAAACTGGTGCTTTTAGACCACAATTTTTTGCAATTGCAATACATTAAAATAAAGTTGTGTAAATAGGAAAATTAATATTTTAGGCTGACGACCTCGTCGTGGCGTCGGTTGTGTAAGATAATTTCCAGTCTGACCCCTAGCGTGTTCTCTAACTGCCTGTCACCCCCTGCTTGAGCCGCCAATGTATGTAGGCCCTAACACTGTATTGCTGCACATGCCATATGATGGCTAAAACCGTACATACCATAATCATTAACGGTCCTTTGAGCCTTTGGACAATCAGCTGACTTTAAATGCCCTGCAAACCGCAACAACGATTCCCGATGATCCTTATCCACTTTCATCTTATCCTCAAGGTATAGTAGAGTCATCCATATGCAGGTGACATTCCCTGGAACTACATACATCAACTTCAAACGATTGAGTGTAGGCGAGCTACTACATTCTAAAATCTCAGCTATTCCTAACATCATCAGACGGAAATCAGTGAAATGAGCTGACTTCGTTTTTACAAAATAAGTCAAATTTAAATCACCACCAAAGCCACCATCAATAAGTGTTTTTTTAAATCGTGTCCACAACGCATTTTTCTTCATCAGAAACAATATTTCATAAATAATAGTAACATCATTGTTGGTAATTTTTTCCTGGTTTTGAAGTTTATCTAAATAACTGAGTGCACTGTTCTCTTCTGTCTTTACGATGTCAAAGAGGATAAATTTCAGCCGACTTAAATCTTCTGGTGACCTCATCTGACTATCCAGCTCAGACAGAGCCCTTGGTAGTAGAATGTCAGACATGAATCCTGCAGGATTGGAGAATATTCTGATCAACAATGAACAGAAAAACCAGTAGGCCTACATGCATATCTTTCCAAAAATTACTATCTGACCTTAGTAATTAAAATGTCGATAAATGTACGTCTATTCAATTACAATGTCTAGATATTAAACACTCTTGCTATTTCGTGTTAGAATAATGCAACACACCTATAATCAGGAAGTATTCTGAAATGACTTCATATATAGTCTACGTCATCCTGAAAGTATGGGGTTAATCCAGTTACTATTATAGGACTAGTGTCTACTGATCTATGGGGAATTCCCTCCAAGTGTTTTTACAACAGGACTTATATAAGTGAATTACTTGGCACAAAAGTTATCAGCTCGAGCATAAAGTGTATAAATAACGGGATTGTCATTCAACCATTATATTACTAAATATCATTCAATAATTGTCAGTAAGTATTAGGCCTATCTTACAATCATGAAGCGTGTTTAGAATTAAATGTGCTTAGGTATTTGACATCATGTTGTCAACCTAAGCACATTTAATCCTTTAAAACAAGTCAATATTTTAAGTACATTAAGCTATGTCTAAACGGTGTTAACTTATGTAATGTAGTGTAGTTTGACAATTTATATAGCGCTTTATACCGGAGTCTCAAAGCGCTTGAGGAGGTGTGAACTAACTTGTAGGTTACTTTCTTCTCCCCTAGTGTATCTTCGTGTCTGAGCTACCCGTTAGCTCAGAGCTATCTCTCGTCTGTCCACAGCAGGAACTGTATGAATGAACCAGTACACTAGTGTAAAAGCCTATTCGTCTCGAAAGATGTACTGGTTGCACATGAGCCAAAATCTTTACACTGGGCCTACGGTTATAGTCCCGGTCTGAGAGGACTAGTTCCACCACCAGAACCAAGCCAACGTGCCGTTCAAACCCGCGCCGATATTATGGCTGAGACAATGTATACTGTATAATTTCCCCTGCCTTAACCGCTAGGCCATTCGACACCTTTTAGCTGTGTCTCCAAAAACAGGACAAAATTAAGTGGAGCTTTTAAATTAACAACAGGTTCTTCCGTTTGTAGGCCTACATTCAGGAAAAAGCGTATAATAGTAGATCCACTTCAAAAATAACTGTAGGCTTTAAAAAATGAATTGAGTACTGTACTTCATGTCGATTAATGTTTGGTGAATTCCTCAGGAAATCGGTGTACGACTTCATTCTATTTTAATGGTGCTTTTTTTAAAACATTTTTTATGGCATGTTTACAAAATTAACCCTTAATACATGAATGGTTTCAAATGTCATGCCTGTCTCTATTCTTTTGTGAAGATAAGTATTAAGAATGTATATATAGGCCTATACATATATATCTAGATGTGTATAAGAGACAGCTGTATTGCTGCACATGCCATATGATGGCTAAAACCGTACATACCATAATCATTAACGGTCCTTTGAGCCTTTGGACAATCAGCTGACTTTAAATGCCCTGCAAACCGCAACAACGATTCCCGATGATCCTTATCCACTTTCATCTTATCCTCAAGGTATAGTAGAGTCATCCATATGCAGGTGACATTCCCTGGAACTACATACATCAACTTCAAACGATTGAGTGTAGGCGAGCTACTACATTCTAAAATCTCAGCTCGTTGCTATAGCTTTAACAACATTTGGACTCAACCCAAATATCCTTGCAGAATTATTGCTTTAAAACGTCTTTGTGTAATGTCACAAATTTTAGTTTCCGTTGTGAGGTAAAGATGCATTGAGTGTCTGTTTGGTTCTTTTAAGTAATAACTGTAATGTGTATGACTGGGGGGAATTTCACTATCAAGCGACGGACCAATTTGAGTAAAGAATTCATTAATTGCATTCGCATTACCACTTGGATCGTTGAACGGTTGACCTTCACATGTAAAACTTGTACTTTTAAGTTTTCTCTTTAACAGAGAATTTATTACATTCCATGTTTGTTCTATACTAGATATAGTATTTGAAAAATTCTGATTATAGTAAGCTACCTTAGCAGATTTTATTAGTGTAATTTATTTCGAAATGTTTTGTATATAGATTCATTTGAGCTTAATGATTTTTATATTATACTTACAGGCGCGGATCCATTATTGCCACTAAATTTTAAAAATTGCAATGTATATTAATGTCATGTGCTTTTATTTATCTATTCTGCAACTACTCTGCCCCCCGCCCCACCCCGTTTGAAAAATTCTGGATCCGCCCCTGACTTACTAAACTGCAGGATTCCATTTGTCATCCATGGCTTTAATTATCTCTCCTTATTTTTAGTGCGTAATGGAAAGTTCTTCATGTATAGTATTCTGTTGTTGGATTGGAAGAGATTGTAAGCATTAGGCCTATTAGAATTAATGGAGGAGATTACATCGTCCCAGTCAACAGATGCTAAATCACAATTGAAGTTTCCAATGTTTTGTGGATTAATCCGACGATATGAATGACGTAATTTGAAATACTGGCAAATAATCTCTAATATCAGAATACAATATACCACTTCTAACGGGTAGATAATACGCATTTGTGACAATATTGTTAATTAATGTTACTGATTTGTTTGTTGGTTATACGAGTTAGTTTATTTATTAAAGGTAAATTAACATTAGTAAATAAAGAATTTAAAAAAGTTGAGCTGGTAATGTTGCTTCGAAAAAGGTTAATTTCTAAGTCCCCCATGATATGATTCAACTTATTTCTTTGCCTAGATTCCAAGTAATATATCCAAATCATCCACAAAGTGTTTAGGGCTTACATTTGGTGGTTTGTAAACAACTCCAGCTAACATATCCTTTCCTTGATTTTGAATAATTTCAATAAATACTGAGTCACAAGAATCATTTGTCAAAGACAGGTCGCTTCTTTGAGTAAAAGAGCATGCATTGTTTACATAATGCAACGCCACCTCCTGACCTGTCATATCTATTTTTACATAAAAGTGTATAATTGGGTATGTTTAGTAAATGACTATTTCATTTAACCATGTTTCCAATATTCCAATAATATAAAACTGAAAATGAAGGGTTGCAATGCATTCCATAATTGAATCAAAATATTTTGTCAAACTTCTTGCGTAAAAATAGATAGAGGGAAGCTTGATTGAATATTAAATAATAATAAAATAGCTTGATAAAATATTAAATAGTCAGATAAATTTGTGTAGATTGTGTAGAAGTTTTGGTCAGGATCCAGATCTGAGCACCTGGCAAAATTGTTTATAGACTCAAATAAATTAAATTGAGTTGTACTTTGTCTATTTAATTTAATATTATTGTTATTAAATTGTAGTTCAGTAATTTGCTTTTTCAAAATCCAAAATATTAAGGTGATCAAAAGGTAAAATATGATGTAAACATGACTTGCAGGCTGAAGATATGCTGTCCCAATCTGTGTCTAAGATACATGAGTGACACACATTACATTTGAAATGTGAGTCATCTTTTCTGGAGATATGCAGTAAGTGAGTTACTAGTGAACAATCCATGCTATTTTATGTTAAAATCGAAATACCTGTGCAATGAAATTCTAAAGTTAAGAATTTAGGGAAATTGGAATAATAAATTGCCTTCACAAAATTGCGATTAATTCATGGAAAGTTGATTGCATAATAAATTAAATTTGCATACCAGCTGGTGCTAAAATACAGAAGGCATGAGAAATTACCGTACATCATGTTGACGGGTATGCAAATTATCTACAGAATTTTTCAAATAGTAAGTTGTGAATACAACATAATATATATGCATAGCAGTTTATGCCAAAGAGCTTTAGAGGTGCTGATGACCTCAATTAATAATGGTAAAAATGCAGCATAAAAATATAAAACAAATACATAGGAAATTTAAATAACAAAGGACCAAAGAAAAATAAAATGCATAATGGCCATGTGAAAACATAGGCAAGAGAAGTATAAATAAATAAGAATCCTGGAATTAATTACAAGGATTTCATTAAGTATTTAAGTTTGAAAATTAATAAATATGCATTATACGGGGAAAATCAATTACAGTTTCTTGAGATGTTCACAGGGATTTCACAGGCACTGAAAAACTAAACGTAAAATCCATTTATGGAAATGTGCCAACATTGACAGGATGAAGACAGATTGCGGACATTTATAACACAGGTTTATCAGAACTCTGACAGTTCAGTTCATCAAATGTGGAAAAATATTATTAAGGATGCCATGGAAAACTTACCTAAAAAGGGGTCTCTTCCAAGTTTTCATATACCCGATTCAACAAACCATAAATTACAAGAGAGGTAAAACGACTTTCGAGACGTAAGAAACGAAGTTTTGTCAAGCCAAGAAAACAAAGAATCCAACATACAAATTATTAAAATTTAAAGAAGGCAACCAAATCAGCATGTAAAAAAAGCTTACAATGATCAAAGAGCAGGAGGTGTGATAACACTGATGTATCTCCTTTAAAAGCACCCAATGGAGTGACTTACTCGGAAGACCAGAGTAGGTCAAATATCCTAAATGATTAATTTTCATCTGTTTTTAAAAAGGACGAATATCACTCAACAATTCCATACCTTGGACCGTGTCCTTATCCATCTATGAGCAACATCAGAATATCCTCAGCCGGGTGAGGAAATTGCTAGATAATCTGAATATACAAAAGCAATTGGGCCATATGATATCTCAGCAAGACTTTTAAAGGTCTTAGCTGGTGAGTTAGCACCGGTTCTTACCATTTTGTTTCGGGCATCGGTTGACCAAGGCAGTTTACCTGAAGATTGGAAAAAGGCTAATGTATTTCCTATACTCAAACGTGGTGCAGGAAACAAGGCAGAGAATTACAGACTTGTCCCTCTCACATCAATTATTTGCAAAACATTAGAACATGTACTATCCAGCTGTATAAGGATCACCTTGAACAAAATGACATACTCTCCGATGCTAGAGTTCCACATTTGAGGCTCTTGCGTAAATTGGAATTTTATGGCATTAACCCAAAGAATCAAAATTGGATTGCCGAATTCTTGAAAGACCGATCACAACAAGTGTTACTCAACGGCACTTCATCTGCAAGGACACCCATCAAATCCGGTGTGCCACAAGGTAGTGTTATTGCACCTTTGCTTTTGCTTTTCCTTTTCTTCGTCAATGACCTCCCAGGATACGTCTCTCAACAGACAACAGTCAGATTG